AGGAAAAACAGTGGAATGAATCTGACATAACTCTCCCATGTCCATATAATAGCAAATTTTAAAAAGGAAAAAAAAACAAAACAAAACATTTCTAAGTGGTTGAATGGAGAAGTAGACAGTTTATTCACAAGCTGAAATGCTATACAGGAGTTTAAATGAATGAATTATTGTTAGGTGTGTCAACATGGGTGAATTGCAAATATTGAATGTTGGGTTAAACGACCGCGCTGCAGCACATAGATCCTATGCAATATCACTTACGAAAATGTAAAAGTACTCAGAAAGGTTATTTTTCAGGTGAACACAATCAATTGTTAAATCTTGTCAATGCCGTGTAATTGCCAACTCATTGTGCTTTTCTGTGTGTTTGAAATAATTCATAAAAAATACAGAAAGAAAGAGAGAGGGGGACACACATGTACGTGCACAGGCACGCAGGGCAGTGGAACGGAGCTGGAGGAATCAGAGCCAAAGCTCAGAAGCCAGAGCCCTGTGTCTGTGTGCATCTCACGCTGTCTTCCAGGTCACCTGTGTGCACTGAGCAATTCAAAATGGAACCTGGCATAGTGCCGGGCTCATGGGGTGGGGGGTGCCCTATGCATGTGTGTCACGGATTTAGCCATCTGAACATTTCAGGTTTATGAACCTACTGTCAAGGTTTGTGAGGCTGTAGTTTTACAATAGGCAGGATGAGCTATTTCTTCTCTAAGTGACCCCCTTTTCCTGGCAGATGCCTGGATCCCCAAGTAGAGGATAGTTTGCTTTTTTTTGTTAGGGTGAATTCTGCAGGTACAGTTGTCTCTGGCTATGAGGCCACACCTCTCTGCCATCTGCCCCTCACCTCAGGCCAAGTGGGTCCACAGGACGCTGTGGTCAAAGCGCTGTGTGGTGTCCGTGCTGGAAAGGACAGAGTCAAGGGCACCTTTGATTCCACAGGCTCACTGGCTCCTTGAGGTGGGTTCAGTGAACAGCACTTGCTTCTGTCAGAATGAATGAGCAGAAACTGCCGGAGGCCTGGAGGAGGCTGAGACAGAGAGAGCTTCCTTTATTGGGAAGTCCCGACTCTCAGCAGCCACTTTTGGAAAATAGCAAAGTCAGTGTGAGTCTGTCGTGCAGCTTGCAGCAAGAGAGAGCATACACTTGGTGCTAAGCATACTTCCTTTGATGAGGGTTATTTAGATTCTAGAAGAAAGTTTGTTGTGACATCAGTCATGCAGGGAGCCCTGAGAATTTAGCTCTTACAAGATGTTTGCTATAGATAGTATGAGGAAAGTCTCTTCATTGGAAAACAGCTTAGCACTCTGTTGGTGAGATAATAAAATTTAAGGTACCGAAGGGGCTGTATGATTATCTGAGTTAAACCTCCTGCAGTAATGATAGAATGGGACTTGACAAAGATTCTCTCCTCCAAATTCTGGTCAGGCTCTTCTGAGCTCTTTTTTTAATGAGGCCCCAACCTTGGGCATGTTCTCAAGAGCCCAATTTTAGCAAGAATCCTGCTAAGTCAGGTTTGTCTGAGAATCCCCTAGCCTTGATATCTGATCAAAGTCCTCATCCTCCACTGTCCCCCAGGTAACATCTGATCACCCTGGCTTGTGTTTAACAAGAATCCTATTAGGATTATTAACAAAGAAGTACCCCACCCTGTCCGTAATTTTCTGCCCCCCATTCCTTGACTATAAATTTCACTTTTCCTTGTTGTATTTAGAGTTGAGTCCAATCTCTCTCCTCTACTGCAAAACCCCATTGCAGTGGGCCTTATACGTGTTGCAGTGGTCTTGAATGAAGCCTACCTTACCATTTTAACAATGTCAGAATAATTTTTTCTTCTACAGGTTTAGAGAAGGGGCATGTCCAGGGAGACACTTTGAGTCATTTTAGAATCAGCCCTAGAGTCGGATTTTCAGATTTAATGTTCCATGTTCCTTCTCCATACATGCTGTCTTTATGCCTTAAGGAACATAAATCAAAAAATAATTCATTCTATAAAAGATTTTATTTGGATTAATAAAAGTATGCAACTGACAGCCTCTAAAGATTATGGTTTGTCTCCTGCACTGCCGCGGCGAACACCATTTGCCCCGGGGCGGTGGTTGATTGGTCATTTAACATTAATTCTAGTATGAGTGAATTACAGAGCCTTCCTTGGCAGTAGACACTGCTGGATTGTACCATTCTGCACCAGTTGTGCCAGCATCCAAAGTATCAAGTGTGTTTCCTAGGTGTGGCTATTTGTTGAGTTACCACTAACTTTAGTAGTTGGGTTAAAACTTGTGAGTATGTTTGGAAAACTTCATTCATTCATTTATTTGCTCTCATAAACAAAGACTAAGCAAACAATACAAAAGCCAACTTATTTTGTATTTTCTTTGCATGTAAGGGAGTCACATTCAAGGGGGAGGTCTCAGAATAAAGATAGTGCCACTCAAATGACAGGATAAGTGCTAAAATAGAAATATGTGCCAAGGGCCATGAGAACACACAGGAAATTGTGTTTAAGCTCCTAGGAGGAAAGTGAGAAGGGCCACAGGGTTAGAGTTAGATGTTGAAAGCTGGAGAGAAATTTGCCAAGAAGAGGAAGTGGGGGGATGGCTGGTTCCGGCAAAGGGAATGAGAGGTGCAGAGGTGGAGGGCAGTGGAAACACAGGACATGTTTAGAAGAGTTTAGTGAGGCTTCTGAGAGAGATGTAGAGAAGCAGGTGGCTGGAAATGGGTCTAGTGAGAGAGGTCAAAGCCAAATTTTACACGACAGTGCTTGTAAGATGAAGCTGGACTGCACACATGTAGTAGTTGATTACTCCCACGAAGCAGGGTGGACAGATCTGGGCCATTGAAATACAACCTGTTCACAGCATGAGGATGGAGAGGGAGAACACCTGAGTTGGGGGTTGTTGCAAGACCAATGGCATGAAAATGGAAAGGACACTAGGGACTGAAGTTATTTAGAAGACAGAAGCTTTAAGAGTCAGAGTCTGAGCTGGTTTTGAGAGATAAAGGCAAAAAGCAAGATTGGGAGTGGTTCCCAGAGCCCTGTGCCTGATGTATGCAGGAGACAGAGCATGAGGATTCAGCTTTTGGGGGTCTGATTATTAGCAGAACTGATGCCCCTGTGGAACCAGTAGCTTAAGGAAGGAATTGGAGATCCTGAAATTTGTTTATTCAGTGAGTGAGCTGGCTGTGTGTGATGCATAAGGCCTTCTGTACCTTTTGGGGAAAAAAAAGAAATGAACAAGTGCCTTTTAATTTTCATTTATTATTTTAACATTTCAGTCATTTCCATTTATCTGCATCCTGTTAGGAGCTTTGTCATGTGTGGTGTTTGTTTTATTTTTTATCCTTTCAAAATTTTTTAAGAATTATTTATTTATGTACGTATTTATTTATTTTTTTTGCATCCTTATGAGTGTCATGTGAGATTAAAGTATTCCCATCTTTCAGGTAACCTGAGGCGCCAGCAGGTTAAGTAACTTGCATCTGGTCATGAGAAGAGAGCTGCAGCTCTAGGAATGAAATAGATTTGCTGTAGCCGACATTCACATTCCTCCTTATCCTAGTCCTCAGTGATGCTCCTTAACCTTGAGGAGTCTACCTTGTGGTTGGGGAAACAGAAAGTAAAGGAAATGATCATGACCCTGTTGCAGAGTTAGCAAAGAGGCAGAAGGATGGGGGAAATGTGTGCTGGTACAGGAGAGAGGTGAATGGTATGGGAAGAGGGCTAGGGAAGCCTTCCTCAGCAGGGAAGGTGAAGGTGGGCACTTTAGCTTCATGCTTGAAGACAAGGAATCCGCCAGGTTGCATGGAGGTGGAGATAAGTCATCATGTAATTCTGCTAACTAGTCTTCTCCAGCTAACCGTGGCCTAAAGCGGGATCACAGTAGAGAGGTAAGGTGGATAAAGTCTCAAAGAAAGGGCAGGAGTGGGTGGTTCCAACATCAGGTGGAGCCAACATCAGGGGAGGCTCAGAGCCAGAGTCAGGAACTGAAAGAGAGGCACGATGCAGATGGTCACATGGTCATTTGATTCCAGAAAAACTAAGTGGATCGCTAAAGCCTGAGTTGGAGAAGTGTGTCAAGTTGAGTCAAAGGAGGTGGGAAACTGAAGACATGGGTGGTCTGGGAAGAGGGAGGCGTGTGGTGGGTGGGAGCAGGACTAGGTGGAAAGTGTGGCTGGATCGGTGGCCAGTCACATCCCACTGTTTGCCACCTTTTCTCCTTTCTCCACCATGGGAGAGAAAGAGCCAACAGAGGTTTGCCTACCTTTACTCCTTGAGCCTTTACCTATGTTTTCAGCAGTGAGGCCGATCCACTAGAAATTAGGCTTAAAGGAGGAGCAGGTAGCCCAAAGGATAACTGGGCTAGGATGATGAACTGCTAGAAGCAATTCCATGCCATTGACTTTTCACTGTGGACCACCATGGACCATTGTTCCTAAAGGTCTCTAAAGCATCGGACCTTCTGCCCAGCAGGGTCTTATTGGGCCATTGGACTGCACAGAGTCTTGAGCAAGCACTTCCTGTTTCTATGAGGGACCCCTTATTTCAGGATTGGTAGAGGAGGTGTAAAGTTGTTTGCACTCTGTGACCTCAGGAGACAGTCTGGCCTCTTTCCCTATGGTTTTCACTCCCCATCCTTGTATGGGGGCTGGTTGGAGGGAATTTATGCCCCTGCTCAGCACCCTATAGAGAGCCACAGAGTGAGCCTCATGGGAGGCAGGCAGTCTCCAGTGGCTCCTTTTATCGTACAACTTCACAAAGGGCAAAAAAGTAGGTCTCTCTGAAAGACTAGGAGTGAAGGGGAGCAGGCTCAGGTAGTAAGCAGGTGCATTAGTCTAATTGCTCTTCTCAAATTAATGGGGCTTTTTATCTCTAAAGAACACTTTTAAGCACTTATGTGATTTGGGAACAAAGATACAGGTCAGGGGACAGCCTGGCTCCCCTTTAAACACAAACCCCATTTGATAAAACAATCTCTCTCTCTCTCTTTTTCTCTCTTTTACTGCAGGTCAACAGATTACGGCACCACCTATGAAAAGCTGAATGACAAAGTGGGTTTAAAGACTGTCCTCAGTTACCTCTACGTCAATCCCACCAACAAAAGGAAGGTAAGAGGCAGGGTCAGGAGGCCCTGGACTCTCCTGCTGAGTTGCAGGGCTGCTTAGGGCCAGGAGTTAAGAAAAAGCCCAGTAATCATGGAGTCACTTACAGAGTGCCTGATTTATATGCCCAGAACTTCACGTACAGTGTAATTCTAACAGCCTGGAGAGGAACAATAATAATAATATCAACAGCAGCAGAACAGCCACCTGTGAAATTATATAGCATGTAAAGGGTTCCCCTGTGCCAGGCTCACTGCTGAGTGCTTTGCATGTCTTACCTCATTTATGCTAACAAGGAATCTATGGAGAAGACGTGATTCTTATCCCACTTCACAGGTAAAGAAGCTGAAGCTCAGAGACACTAAGTAATACTCCAGCTTGAATCAGACAGTACTAAGCAGCAGACCTAGAATTCAAGCATGGGTCTGCTGGATTCTGATTGAGTCTTTGCACAGCCTCCACCTTGGTCTAGTTTCTGAAAGAAACTTATTCATAGGGAGCCCCTTCTTGCCAGGGGAAGGAGAGGTGACTTTTGGATCTGCAACTTTATCCTGAGTTAGTTCTGAGCCAGAGGGCAGTGCTGGTTCTCTGGATCCTTTGCTTCTTTCTTTCTTTGGGACTAGCAAGCAGGGTGACATCATCTAAGGTCAGGCCTTGGCCATGGGGACCTACTAGGAGGAGGAGGCCTAGATTCCATGGAGCAATGGTTGGTTATAGCAAACAAACACTGTACCATGTATTGAATTTGGGTAAATGTGATCTTTCCCAGCTAGGAAAGCTCTCCTGTTTAGAAATTTAGGCAAACCTGCACCAAAATGGCCATTTAAAGGTTATTTCAATTTTTCTAAAAAGCTAAAAAAATAATTACACTTTCAGGCTTTCCTCTTGCAGTTCAATCTCATTTCTCAGTAGTTTTGCAAACCCTTCCTTCATCTAGGTCAGCTCAGGAGTGAACTTCCTCACACAGTGCACATATATCTGACCCCTGATTCCAACATGGAAGAGTCCAGACTGTGGCTGAGAATGATTACTTATGCAGTTCAACACAGAGCAGCTCTGACTCCAACCCTTAGCATCTTAACATACATCCCATCTCTTCTCCCCTCAGTGCCCCCTACATCCCCACAGCAAGGAGAGGAAGCAGAATTGCTGGCTCCTGGTTCAACACCAATGATGGATTAGCCTAAAGGTCCAGCCAGCTTCAGGGCTTCCCAGACCCCCAGACTATGCCATTGGCCAAATACCAAAGCCTTGATTATTAGGATGGCTGTGGAGACCCCTGTTACTGGGTTTAGTTGAGCAGTTAGTTTTCCGGGTCTCAAAGGGTTGTCATGTTTACATTTTCAGTATTGTTATTTGAGTTATAGGATTTAGAGCTGGGAGGGATTATACATTTCATCTATTCGTTTGTGAACTGTGACCATGTTACAAATGTGAGTCAAGTTCTAGGCCTCCTCTTAGAAACTTGTCTCTGCCACACAAGTTTTCATATATAATGAGGAGTTTGTGAACACCCCAAATCCCAACCAAGAGTCCAAGATGTCAATGGAGTCTTGGTTAAGGATCACCTATCTAGGCTGGGCATGGTGGTGAACACCTGTAATCTCTGCAGCTCGAGAGGCTGAGGCAGGAGGATCACAAGTTCAAGACAGCCTCAGCAACTTACTAAGGCCCTACATGACTTAGGGAGACCCTGTCTCATAATGGAAAAAAAAAGGGGGTGGGGTAGGTGGGGCCAGGGATATGGCTCAGTGGTAAAGTACCTCTAGGTTAAATCCCCAGTACCAAAAGAAAAAAAAAGAATCATTTGTCTATAATAACAGCCTCATTTTACAGATGAGAAAACTAAATCCAGAATGCCCATGTGTCTAGGTAGAAAAAAGAACCAGTATCTGAACTCAGAACTCTTGATTCTCAGCAAAGAGTTATTCACATAAGCCTATACTTTTCACCTTTTCTTTCTTTTGACCCAAGGGGTCAAAATTGCTCTGTGATCTAGAACTAGCAGCTGGTACTAGTTTATGATGGACACATGATGAAATTTGACTGAATAGAGTCAGTGATAATCTGTATTAATTCTCCCTCCACCCTCATCTCCTCAATGAGGAGGAAGCTGAGGTCCACTCAGGTTACTCAACTCTTTAGTGGCAGCTCATCTCATGACTCCCACTCTGTTTTTCTTCCCATCTTTTCATGAGTGACTTGGGGTCAAATGGAGCCCCAGGGGGAGTGTACCTTTCTCAGGGAGCAGGAACTGGGTGTTTGGCACATGGTGATGCCCATTAGCCCTGATCTCTAACCTCTATCTGGACAACAGAAAGGCCAGTCATATTTTCATGGAGGTGACAGATGAGCTGTTTTTGGAGGATGTTTCTCTGTGACACAGGTAGGGTCACTCCTGCTCACATCTAGTTTAGTTTCCATCTGTCCTGTGTGTCGCCTCTTGGAAACAATCATACTGATGCCTCTTTTGGTCTTTTGCTCTTTTCTTCTGCTCCCGACTGTCAACTCTCCTTAGTGCAACTTAGAAGTTCTTAGAAGTGAGAGAGAGGAAGGACAAGTAAAGTCTGGTGCTGTGGTCTGGAAATGACCAGCACAGAAATGCAGTCCCCATTTGTCCTTCTTCAAAGTGACAACCAGGCAATGGGCTTTCTGAAGCAATTTCTCACAGGGATTATTGCCCAGTAAACAGAATTCAGGTCTATTTTATTCATCTAATCTGAGCAACATCACTAAAGTACAGCGAACTGCCACCTAGGAGACACTGCCACCCAGAAAGTTGAAAGTATACACACACACACACACACACACACACACACACACTCAGATTGGGAAAAGACAAATGCTATATATATTGATGTTCATAAGGACCCTGTGTGATACTAAAGTATTTTCTGAATCATCCAAGGAAAGATGAAATTAGATCTGTTTCATTGCACCAAGTAGCTTAGATCGTATTTGGAGACTCAGGATGAGAATGACACATACAATCTACATGATAGCTTTGTCTTAGAGTGTTGGGTTTAGCAGAACTCCCCTTTCTCCACCCTCTTAGGCAAAATGACAGGTTGATAGAAATGAAAATGTTCTCATTTATTAATCGAGAGCTTTGCATCATTATGACTTTACAGTGCACTTTAAAAAAAATCCTTCTTATATTTATCTGGAAGGGTAAACTGTGGTCACCTGGATTCTTTTGATTCTTTCAGTACCCACATTATCTTTAGCTCCCCATGTTCACCAGCCGCTAATGGCAGTGGGCTCCAGCAGATTTTTCAGTTAATCTTGTGGAAGCAGTTGCTTTTCACCTAATGAGTTATTTATTTAACAGATGGCTGCTGCTTTCCTTGGAGGCTATGAATACATCAGATGAGATCTGTTGCCCCTGGCAAAACAGTAAATTGTGCTTGTATTTATATAGTTGCTCCCAAAGCTAACTGTTGACTTTCTTAACACTTTTTTTTTTTTTTGACAACATAAAATCTCCAAATACAGATAGCTAATAAGCCATTAGGTAGAAACAGAAGTGTTTACATTCATGTAGCTTCTTTCCACCAGTAATACTTTCAGTTAGCAATAAGAGCACCTACTTCAGTAAACTCCTTTTTAGGAGGTTTAGCTACATTGTTCTCTAATCTCTCATCCACTTTAGAAAGCAGGCTCGATAAGGAAATGGACTCCAGTAAATTAGTCCTGGGCCCTATTACCATACACGATGGATTTGAAACAAGCTTTCCCAGTGGCGTTTTTTTGGGGCGGGACAAATTAATCAAGATACATTCTGTAATGCTGGGCTTCCTTATGGGAATCGGGGTGTGGGCTAGTGGCTACTGTCTTTCTCACAGGCAATGAGCATGCTATATTATCATATTTCTAAATGAGGGTATTGATATGAAATGCTCAGAGCTGCTCCAGTTGGAGTTGTTCTAGACCATCTCATAGTGTGGTGGCATCAGCTTTATTTTAATGACCTTGACCTGGCCTGACTGTATTTGACGTGAATTCTGCAACCCTGGCTTGTTGCCTTTCTCTGGTCATCAGCCTATTAGCTCATCACCTGGGTTTGAGCCCAACTTTGTTAAGAGAGCCCAGCATTGCTGGATGTTTCTGAGCTTGGCACTTTAAAGATGAAGAGCAGTGTATTAGTTCTGGAAGCAGGAGCGTGTAGGGTTTGCCTCCTGGAGGAAGGACCCTGTTATGATCGGGGCTGACTGGTTTCTTCTCTTTGAAGGAGATAAACATCCCTGGGTCCAAAGAATTCATTACTCCCGTTTGAGTCTTGTCCTCAAGCTCCTGCAGAATGGCAAGTGTCAACGTCAAGTCTGTGATGACCAGAGTTGTGGTTTGTACAGTCAGGGTGAGGACTGTGGCCTCTACCATGGAGGGGCTTGATTCCCAGGAGTGAATCTTTTTGAGAAAGAATCCATGAGTGGGCAGGGAAATGAAGGCATGTTGTGGTCTATTTGCTCTGGCTCAAAGGTGACTGCCATCTGCAGCTTTGGAAACAATGCGTTGGAAATGGCAGAGAGAATGCACAGGTCTGACTGCCAAGGAATGTGAGTGGAGTGTGGCAGAGTAGAAGTGTGTTGCCTCTGGGTATGTGTGGTGGGGACTGCATGGTGTGCCATCAGATTAGAATGATGCCTTCTTTTGGCTGAGCTCTGATATGTTCCAGACATAGTGCTAAGTTCACTAATCTATACTCTTTTTTTTTTTTAAATTGTCACTACTATATACTATTTTTTTAAAAATAATATTTATTTTATTTCTTAGTTTTAGGTAGACACAGTATCTTTATTTTACATTTATGTGGTGCTGAGGATTGAACCCAGTCCCTCATGCACGCTAGGCAAGCACTCTACCACTGAGCCACAACCCCAGCCCCACTATATACTCTTAAATTTCACTGTGAGTTCCTTGAGCCTGTAGCTTCATCTTCCTTTGACAGATGAGGATACTGAGGCTCAACAGGTAGCCCACTTGCTTTTTGTAAAACTCTTAGTCAA